TTTTAAAACAAAATCTGGATTAGAAAGTAGAATGTATGCCTTTCAAATTATATTGGGTAGGTCTTGCAAACCTGTAATGCGAAAAAAGCGTGGTATAGCTAATAACATTAAAATATGATACACGAGTCTAGCCAATGAGTTTAAAATCAAATAAAAGTTTAAAAATAGATTTTTATTATTCTCAAAAAAATAAATTTCTCTACTCTACATAGCTGGTAGAGAGATAACATGCTTTTAACTTCTTAGTATATAGAATATGTCAAACATATTCAAATTTATTTCGAAAATAGAAGTGATATTGCTCGAGGCAGAATAAAGTTTCGTGTATGTTGTTGCTCAATGCAGAATAGAAAATAGAGTAAGATCTGAACAAAATCGCGCATACTCTTGAATTGCATATTTGAAATGCGAAGTGAGTACAGCCAGTTGAAAGTATTCTGAGCAGTTCTGCATATTCTTGACAAGTGGAGGTTCGTAAATGTCAGGCTATGCGTCTTTGTTTGTCTTCAAAATGGGAAATTTTTTCGCATTTTCCAGTTCATCCAGTTGTGAATTCCGTGATGGAAATATTTTTTTGTGACTCATGTAAAATATGCTTTATAACTTCAAGCCATCTAATAAAACAAGTTTTATTTGATAGTATAGTGTTATATCGGTTCACAAAATATGTCTGGTTCTTGGCACTCCAATAAAATTAGATTTTGGAAAATAAACTTGCCATAACCTTTTTTTTCATCGAAAGCTTAATTGTGCCCTTTTAAATGATACCTGAAAAATATTCTCCCCACCCCTTTACGCTTCTTTTTTGGGAGGGATTTGAGGGAGATAATTGAATCTCTTTTATACGAGTAAGGGAAGCATAGTATCAGCTGTATTTTTTCATGATAAACTGAATAAAACCATTTTCAAAACAATCAGATTATTAATTTAGAAGTTATAAAGATTTTCTGTACAAAAAAAAAGTACAATTTTGTCCCAGAATCTATTTACACATCTGACATTGCTATCAAAACAAGTGAGGTGTATTGCTTCCAATGTACTCTTTATGCTGAATCAAATGATACTATGCACAAGTCAATAGTTGCAGATGTTGTAGTTCATTTACGTCGCACTAGAGCTGCACAATGGGCTATTGTCGACGGTCTGGGAAACATCCCTGAGGATGATCCGAAGACATGCCATCACAATCTTGATCCTCTGCGGAGAGGATGGCACCCCCGCCGCCCGACGACCAGCGCATGAACTCGAGCAGTTTAGGGCAGAGCAGTTTAAGAGGACCCATAACACACACCCTCAGTCCCTACGCAGACTGATCAGAGTGGTCAACCACCCGCCCACTGACCGTAGCCAGTGATTCTTGACTTCGGTAATCTGCTGGGAGCCGTGTCTTAGCGATTAGTCCACTGCGGGACGCACAAGTAAATAGAATGAATAGTTTAAACGTTGCGGGGTTTTCAATTTACAAAAAGTTCTTATTTTGACATGTACTTTGTACATATTCTATCTATTGCTATCTAAACAAGTGAAGTAATGTTTCCAATGTATTTTTATGCCGAATCAAATAATACTATGCACAAGTCAATAGAATAAATAGTTAAAAAGTAGTGGGGGTTTTCAATTTACAAAAAGTTCTTATTTTGACATGTGGTTTGTACACATTTTACCCTGCAATCTGGGTACTATTTAAACATGTAAGGTTTATTATCGTAATTGTTCATTCTGATTTAAATGAAGACAATTTAGGAATTGACTCACTACTAAACAATCTCTTTAGTAAAAAAGATGCAACGAAGTTTATATACGAGGGATGTTTTTTATGTAAGGGCCGTTTTGCTGCGTACGCTGATAGGAGACGCATGCGTCTCAACGAGTGCTTATGTCAAGTCCCGACATTCCTTTGGAACAACTGTGCTCAGTTGTAGCTGTGTAGGTAAATTGTACGGTCAGTTCTGTGTCTTTAAAAAGTTCACATTTAACAAATCGCCAGCCACGGACGAGATACGATAAGTGATGCGTTTTTAATCTGCAAAAAAACCTGTCTGCTGCAGGCATTCACTGGCAGATTCTTGAAGTAGCAAAATTTCCTGCCATGATGACAGGGAATTTTGCTACTTTATGACAATGACTCTCTTCGCAATTCTGATCCCAGCTTTAGTGATCTTTTTTAGTTGGGAAGTTTTAGACCACTCCTCCTTACAGCCCAGACCTTGCGCTGAGTGATTTTCATCTTTTCCGATATTTCAAACGTAATTTTGGTGGTCATCACTGCAACGATGATGAGTTAGTGAAACCATGACATCTTGGTTAACGACACAGGCGACAAGTTTGCATGAAGAGGGTATTCTAAATCTAGTTGTAAGGTATGATAAGTGTTTAACCCCTTGCCAGTGTCACCCAATTCCAGTTCGGGCATCAACTACTACATGTGCAGTATTTGTGATGCCCGAACTGACTTTGGACAGGACAAAAATTAACGTTTCTTTTTTGTGAAGCCCGAGCTGAGTTCCTTTCTACTTTAGGATACTTAATTCGCTATTTTCGAAATAGATGGCATTAGTGGTCCTAGTTTTTCACCGATTACGACTTTAGTCGAGGGAGGGAAATGTGAGTGGGGATTTAGGATATACCATACTGTAAAATGTATTTATTGTACGATTTGTAAAATGTATGTATTGAAAATCACATTGTTGTGTTTTTATATTACATTATACTAGTTNATTACTACGTGCAGTATTTGTGATGCCCAAACTGACTTTGGACGGGACAAAAATTAACGTTTCTTTTTTGTGAAGCCCGAGCTCTGTTCGTTTCTACTTTAGGATACTTAGTTCACTATTTTCCAAATAGATGGCATTAGTGGTCCTAGTTTTTCACCGATTACGACTTCAGTCGAGGGAGGGAAATGTGGGTGGAGGATTTAGGATATACCATACTGTAAAAGATTTGTAAAATGTATGTATTGAAAATCATATTGTTGTGTTTTTAAATTATATTATACTAGTTATATTATATTTATCTTCAAAATTTTGCTTAATTTGTTTCTAATTGAATAAGATGTGTGTGTAATCCATTACTTTGTGTGTAAAAATTACAAATACAGTAGTTATTGCATTTAAAATTTTATTTTTGTAATAAAAAACAATTTTCTAACTTTTATATTAATATAAAAAACAAAATGAAACAGTCTAAAAAAAATTCCATTCTAGGTTCATTTTTCTGAGATGTATGTCACTGTTAAGGTGTTAAACAAACTTGGCAACTATACAAAAAAAAAAGAGAAATGTATGTAGAATATTAAAATAAAGTTGCTTCTTGAAAATTTTCTTTCGCTTGGTTTTTATTTACAAACGGCCCTTACTTAAAAAAACAACCATCGTGTTAACCAAACATTAAATAGGAATTTAAAAAACGAAATTGTAGGTTAAGTTGCCTCATAAGTTTACTCCCTCAATTCTTGACTCCGTGTCTAATCTTTTCGACAACCATTAGCATAATTTTATCATTTAGAAAATTAAACTTAAAGATTTGTTTTTCTATTCATAGGTTTCATAAAAAAAAATTTCTATGTAAAAAGAAAATTTATTTTACCCTCGCTGGTCAAAATTTTAATTACAATGAAAAGTAGTTTAAAAAATAAGACATTTCATTTAGGTAACCTCTTGAACAGTTTTACGACATTGTTATTTGTGTTTAATGGATTATGTATCATAACCAAAATGTGAAGAAATTATATAGAATTGGGTACTTGCCCTTCAAGAAAAAGATCTCCCATGCCCACACATGTGACCTATGGCGTAAGCGCCAGCTGGGAAAGAAGAATTCATCTTAAATTGTAAGTTGCCTATAAATTTTGTAGTTAAATTAGATTAATTTACATGAATTTTGGATTTTTTTATACTTTTTGGGGATTTTTATATTCCGCTTGTTGCATTGTGATTTGGAGGTCAACTATTACTTTCACTGAGTAGCAAACTCGGCTAGAAAAAATAAACAGCAGATGGCGCTACTGTAAAAAAACGACACAGTTTTTTTCTAAGCATATCAAGAATAGTAACTGTCATTCAATTTAAAAAATTTAGTGATTAAAAGATTTTTCTATATGTTTAATTACGAATATTAATTTTTTTAAATAAAATTAGCTGACCAAAGTTAAAAACATTATAAAAGCACAAATCAAGTTTAGAAATGGACATACTATAGTTTCGGCTCTCTAACTCTCTGAACAAGAACTTTCCTTAGTCCCTAAACACCAAAATGTTATTTCTAACACCAAATATGAGTGTGCAAGACACCAAATGACTCTTCTCAGTGTAATTAGTTAAATGCTTAAGCACTGGGGGAGGTTCTTGTTTCATTTCTTGTCACCATTTTCGAATTTAATTCACGTTGTTTTTCACATTAGTCTATAAATCACAAAACATACCCATCCTTTCGTATATTAGCTGAGTTTTATAAATTTGAATTAAATCAACCCTAGAAGCAAACGATTTTTATAATTATTATAAATGATATTAATGTTTCAAACCAATTGCCAGATTTCACATCCGAATTTCTGAAATCATTCAGCATAGTTCGTTTTAAGTTTAATTTTAAAAGTTAGTAATCAACAACTTATTTTAAATTGGTAATTTTAATATGGTATTTCATATGGTAATTTTAAATTTAGTTTTAATAGTTAACCTAAAGCAACTCAATTCATACATTTTATTTTACTACATAATTTTAAGTTTTTCTTTCTTTTTCACATTATGCTAATACAATAAGATATTAGAATATATAAAAGTGCCAGTAAGTTATAGAATAGTACCAGCAAACTCGGTAGTTACTTAATTTTTTAAGTTTTAATTGATGACAGTTGTTGTAATTACTATTGTTGAGAATAAAGAATAGTCTGTTCGCGTAAACACACATAAGAAACAACATGAAATCTCTATTTATATGTAGAATAATGACTGAAGCATTTTGTGGCAAAAAGACTATTTATTATTTATTCAATGATATTAATACAATTATTCATGCCACAAAATTGACTATCATGCTGTGAGGCTCAGAAGTTACGGACTCAAGGAACACAATGTCCTGTTTGGGTTAGTCACCATTTTCAAAATCTTCACAATGTTGACAGCGGAAAAATATTTCATGAAGCACATTAAACACAATGTCCTGTCAATGTGCCATGATTTTTTTATGTCAAAATCGGGAAAATCACCACAATACTGTCCGTGGAGAAAATATGTATGTAGCACATTAAACATAATGTCCTGTCAATGTGCTATGATTTTTTTTATGTCAAAATCGGGAGAATCTCCACATTACTGTCCGTAGAGAAAATAGTTATGTAGCCACATTAAACACAATGTCCTGTCAATGTGCTAAATTTTTTTTGTGTATCAAAACCGGTTATGTGTCACAATCAGGAAAGGGTCAAAATCGAGTGAGTGTCTATATCGGATAAAAGTCAAAATAGGTTAAATGTCAAAATCGGAATTTCTGTGAGACTTTTCAACATTTCTAGAAGAAGGAACTTTTGTTCCGCATCTCTCTTTCACACTTTCGGAAATCTCTCACCATCCGTTTGTAGTGTGCAGTTGAAATTCCCATGAAATTGAAATCACCTTTCACAGCTCTATTCTTCTTGATGTCAAGTACAGCCTGTCCTATAAGGACATAGTCCCGGATCTTTAAAGGGAACTTTTCGAATTTAGCATTCCTTATACCTTCCACATCCACTGCAGTTTTTTTATCCAATTTTTTATCAAGAGCTGCTCCGTCGTTTTCAACAATTTCCTGCTCAGCAAGAACAACGTTCCAGTCTCGTAACTGAAACTCATAATGAATTTCAACTGCAGGGCTTCTCTCTAAAACTTCATCAACATATTCAGCAGTTTCCTCAACCACTGCAGCTTCCTCATCCAATTTCTTATCCAGAACCTCTGCGGCTCTGTTTCTGTCAAACATTTCCTGCTCGTCAACAACTTCGTCCCAGTCTCTCAACTGGAACTCATTATCAATTTCACTTGCGGTGTTTTTCTCCACCACTTCCTCTACACATTTAGCAGTTCCCTCATCCACTGCTGTATCCTTATCCAATTTCATATCTAGAGCCTCTGAAGCTCTGTGTTCTTTCTCAATCGTTTTCTGCTCGGCAAGAACCTCGTTCCAGTCCCTCAACTGGAACTTATTCTTATCCTTCTTTCCCTTGGAACTAAATAAAGATACAATCTAAATTTTTCTTACTATTATCTATAACTAAAATATTGAAATCAAACTAAGAAGATTATCTTAAATTCATTTCCAATCTTTTTGTAAATCATAAAGCTAATTTTCTTAATTTGATTTTTCACTATTGACTTTAAGGTAAAAAAAACTTATTGATGCAGCAAACGTTTTTCAGCAAGAAAGATGATTTGTCTTTATATTTTTAATGTTTTTGTACATTATGAAATTAATTTTCTAAATGTCTCTATAATTTTATGATAGTATTCTCTGTTCTTGAATTAAGTCTTATATTCAGTGCATCTTGACTAATAATAGGAAAAAATTCGTTATAAAAGTCTGCTTAAAGTTAACTAATCAGATTCCTGATAAAAAAAAATATAAAAAAAAAAAACATATTTATGATTAATAAAACCTAAACATACGATATTTAAACCATTCATTTGGCAATATTTCCATTCATATGGTAATGGCTAACCGGAAATTCTGAATTTTAAAATTATATTTCTAATTACCACACATTTAGTAATTAATACAGAACTGAAAATTAAATTGAACTAATTTAATGTTTGTTTATATCATGCTCTAAAGTAGCATAATTAAAGTTACAAATTACAAATTAACTAATTTTTTCAGATATTAAATAACCATATTTCATAGTTATTTTCATCGAAATCACCACCAAAGCACTTCGGTAAAAAGTTAATGAGTTTTTGTTGTTCCCATAAAGCCAAAAAAATGGTAAATTTTACCATATTTTGATAGTTTATACCCTAAAATTTTTTTGTGGGGTGATAAACTGATACATCATATTATTGATAATTTTCTTGGCGTAAAGACATAACTTTCACAATAATATAATTACATTTATTTATTACATAATTCAAAATATTTTGATGATATTTTTGAGTTGAAAAGCTTACTTATACTTTGCTTCAATTTTGCTTCAATTATATATATTTTAGAAAGAGGAACTATTGAAACAAAATTATAATTTAAGGAGAATCGAAGTGATGTTGCTTAGAAGTAATAATAAGTAAAGAAAATTAAGTAATAGTTAAATAATTAGTGTGAAAAAAAAACATTATGTTAATAATGATTTTATAATATGAAAGAAACTGAAAATGAACATACTTTGTGTTAATGAAAGTGCAATAAGTATGACTCGCCAATTAAACTGAATTTCTAATCATAAATTGAATTTTAAAGCTAGAATAAGGGATTGCACAAGTTATTTCTGTCTTCTCTGAAACGCTTATTAATATAATTGCATTTAATATTTTTTTAATTATTAATATCTTTAAAATGATACATCTATAGTCATATGTAATAAGCGTTTTTATCAGTTTTTATTTGAAATATCCATATGTCCGCCATTCCATGAGTTTTTCCAAAAATCGTGAAAAAAAATCAAATTGTTTTTTATTTGATGACGTTTAACTTTAAAGATTTGCATTCAGCAAATATTTTAATGCTCGCACTTTGAAAGAGTTTTTTTTCTTCCTCGAACCAAAATTTTTCCGATTTTAATGGAATTCTGCAGGGTACTTATAATTTTATGAATTTTAGAACTTTACCAAATGAAACAAAATGCTTTAAGAAAGAAAAGAAAAATTATTCTAAGTGGTTTATCAGTTTTTCTTTTTTAATAATCAAAATAATTTTAAACTAATTCGGCTTATAGGTAAAATTGAATTTGGTAAAAGTTTGTTATTATTACAATCAATATCTAAATGTGATCCTATCTAAAGTAACTTATGTTGATGATCAAAGTTGATTTCAAAGAAATATATAAAATAAAGTATAAGTAGTTTATGGAAATTTACTTAAATAAAACTAAACGATAAATGTAACAAATTTGGCGACAATAATGCACATAAAAAATAACTATTACTTAGAGTTGTTTAACTTTTTTTTAATTTAATTTAAAATTTTATACAAACATATGTCAATTTAACATATGTCTACTTAAAATTATCAAATGCTCATTACTTACAGCTTTTTCCGAATATATCTCAAAAGTTTAGACATTTTATTTCAGAATAAATTCTTAACTCAAGAAATTCAACCAATTTTCTCAAGAGTTTAACAAGAAATGGAGTTCTTTAATTGTTGAAATGAGATTTTGTGCAAGCGCGCATTGTTAACTTGGAGACGATGGTATTAACATTGTTGTAATACCGAAATATGATACAAACTAATTATTATAGAACATAGTTAATTTCTTTTCGTTTGTTTAAAAATAAATATGAATTAGGTTTTTTTGTCTATTGTTGGTAATAGCATTATTAACGTAAAAGACATGGCGTTAAATAATGTGTTATATTGTAGTCATAATTTTAAAAACATTCACATATGCTTCACATAAAATATGAATTTTTTTGAAAAATGATTACTTTTCGTCTATTAAAAAATAAATTATAGTATTACTTGAAATTAAATTGCATGTAGTACCAGCACGTATCTTTTAGCATTTAATATAAAATTCATTGTCTTTTAACACACAAAATTAGAATAGTTATTTTATTCTGATGAAACATTACACGCTAAAAAAAGCATGTTTAAAACTACCATGATATGGTAAAATTTACTTATGGTCAAATTTACAATTATGTTAAAATTTACAATTATTAATTACCTCTGGTGGTACTGATCCAAGAGTTTCCTAGTCTTCTAGATTGCCTCGACATTACAAGGCTACGGAATTCAACATCAGTAGTCGTAAACCCAAAATTTGGTCGGCTGTGCAACAACAGATATAATATAAAATAAAATAAGTTAGAATGTTAATTGACGATAAGTTAATTAACGATACTTTAATTAACTATAAGTTAATTAACGATAAGTTAATTAAGTACAGATTAATAATAATTAAATAACAATTTGTTGAAATATGATTCTTTCTCGTCTGCTTCTTTTACTTAACTTGGATTTATTATTTATTTACATATTTTATTGTAACCGTGATATATTTTCGTTTTGTGTACCTGGCAACTTCGATGCATAATTAGTTTGCTTATGTTTCACATGGCTTAGTGTCTGCCTTTGTGTTAAGTCTATTAAAATATATAGTAAAGGAATTGAAATCTTTGATACAGAATTTAGAATGTGTTACTTAAGAGAATTGATTCTTGACGGGCTTGGCTTACCCGTAGTAGACTGGAAAGAACAGCCGCTGTCATAAAGAAAGGCTACGTTTCAACAACCAATCAGGATTGAGAACCCACACTACGTCACTATCAGGTATCCCATTCTGTATTTTGTGTGAAATCCACTATAAAAATATACTACCATATCTAGAATGCGCTAAAAATAAAAAGTTGTAATTTTTATGCAAAATTAAAAATAAATTAAACAAAATAAATTATATTATATTGGTTAACATCTTTAAAAAAATATTTCTAAATATATTTGAGAATAATTTTTTTTTTCCAAACTACATATTTCAAAGTAAAAATCACATTTCTGCCTTTGTTTAAGCTCGGGTCCCAGAAGGCTTACAAAAATTCTAGAAAATTTGAGTCAACCCTTATATAGTAAGTCTTTTTAAATATGATTGTAAAATTGAAAGAGAAGATTNATAGTCCTTTGAGTCAGTCTCCATTCTCAAAATCTTTCAAAATCCTCGGAAGTATATTTCATGGAGCACATTAAACACAATGTCCTGTCAATGTGCTAGGATTTTTTTAATGTCAAAATCTGGAAATTCTCCACAATATTGTCCGTAGAGAAATTATTTTATGCAGCATATTAAACACAATGTCCTGTCAATGTGCTAGGCATTTTTTTAATGTCAAAATCGGGAAAATCTCCACAATATTGTCCGTAGAGAAAATATTTATGCAACACATTAAACACAATGCCCTGTCAAGGTGCTAGGGTTTTTTCTTATTTGTATCAAAACCACTTATGTATCACAATCGGGAAAGGGTCAAAATCGAGTGAGTGTCTAAATCGGGTAAGAGTCAAACTAGGTCAAATGTCATAATCGGAATTCTTGGGAAACTTTTCAACGTTTCTATAATAAGGAACTTTTGTTCCGTTTCTCTCTTTCACACTTTTGGAAATCTCTCATCATCCGTTTGTAGTGTGCAGTTGAAATTCCCATAAAATTGAAATCATGTTTTACAGGCCTATTTTTCTTAATGTCAATTACCGCCTGTCCTATAATAACATAGTCCCGGATCTTTAAAGGGAACTTGTCGAATTTAACATCCCTTATAGTTTCCTCATCCACTATAGTTTTTTTATCCAATTTCTTATCAAGAGCCTCTGAAGCTCTGTCGTTTTCAACAGTTTTCTGTTCAGCAAGAACATCGTTCCAGTCTCTTAACTGAAACTCATTATCAATTTCATCTGCAGTATTTTTCTCTAAAACTTCTTCATCATGTTTAGCAGTTTCCTCAACTACTGCAGTTTCCTTATCCCATTTCTCACCCAGAGCCTCTGCAGCTCTGTTTCTTTCAACCATTTCTTGCTCGGCAAGAGCTTCATTCCAATCTCTCAACTGAAACTTATTATCAATTTCAGCATTTTTTTCATCTGCAGTGCTTTTCTCTACCACTTCCTCAACATATTTAACTACTTCCTCATCCACTGCATTTGCTTTATCCAATTGCTCATCCAGAGCCTCTGCAGAGCTGTTTTCCTCAATCGTTTTTTGCTCAGCAAGAACCTCGTTCCAGTCCCTCAACTGGAACTTATCGTTATCCTTCTTTCCCTTGGAACTAAATTAAAATACAATCTGAATTTGTCTTACTCTTACCTAGAACTAAAATATTTAAATCAAACTAAAAAGATGATTTAAATATATTTCCAATCTTTTCATAAATTATAAAGCTAATATTCATAATTTGATTTTTAACTATTAACTTTAAGGTAAAAAATTTATTGATGTTGCAAATGCTTTCTCAACTAGAAAGATGATTTGTATTTAGTTTTTTAATGCTTTTGTGCATTATGAAGATAATTTTCTAAATGTCTCTATAATTTTGTGATAATACTCTGTTCCAGAATTAAGTCCTATATTCAAAGCATCGTGTCTATTAATAGAAAAAATTATATCGTTAGAAGAAGAATTGTCAGAAAAAAAATCAGTTTAAAGTTAGCACACTGCAATTCCTACAGGGTGAAAAAATTCTGTTAAAATTACCGCTCTGTATTGTGATCAGATTCCTGGTTTAAAAAAAAAACATATTTATGATTAATAAAACCTAAACATACGATATTTAAACCATTCATTTGGCAATCTTTCCGTTCATATGGTAATGGTTAACCGGAAATTCTGAATTTTAAAATTATATTTCTCATTACCACACATTTGGTGATTAATGCAAAACTGAAAATTAAATTGAACCAATTTAGTGTTTTCTTATGTCATGCTCTAAAGTAGCATGATTAAAGTTACAAATTTTAACAGATTAACTTATTTTTTCATATATTAAATAACCATATTTCATAGATATTTTTATCAAAATCTTCACCAAAGCGCTTCGATAAAAAGTTACTGAGTTTTTGTTGTTCCCCTAGAGCCAGAAAAATGTTAAATTTTACCATATTTTGATAGTTTATACCCTACATTTTTTTTGGGGGGGGGGGGATAAACTGATACATCATATTATTGATAATTTTTTTGGCGTAAAGACATAACTTTCACAATAATATAATTAAATTTATTTATTATTAAATTCAAAATATTTTGATGATATTTTTGAGTTAAAAAGCTTATTTATACTTTGCTTCAATTTTTTTCACTGTAGAAATTAGTCCTTATTTCATGAATAAGTAAAATCTAATCTTTAAGAAAGTTTTTCGATAAATTTTTTGCACAAAAAAAAAATTAAGCTAATAAAATCAAAAATTAACAAGTTTCTTATCAGAAAATACGAGTTTGAATTTTAGTTTTAGAAAAAGGAACTTTTGAAACAAAATTATAATTTAAGGAGAATCAAAGTGGTGTTGCTTAGAAGTAATAATAAGTAAAGAAAATTAAGTAATAGTTAAATAATTAGTGCGCTTAAATGTGAAAAAAAAAACATTATGTTAATAATGATTTTATAATATGAAAGAAACTGAAAATAGACATACTTTGTGTTAATGAAAGTGCAATAAGTATGACCTGCCAATTAAACTGAATTACTAATCATAAATTGAATTTTAAAGCTAGAATAAAGGATTGCACAAGTTATTTTCGTCTTCCCTAAAACGCTTATTAATATTATTGCATTTAATATTTTCCTAATTATTAATGTCTTTAAAATGATACAGCTATAGTCATATGTAATAAGCGTTTTAATCCGTTTTTATTGGAAATATTCATATGTCCGTCATTGCATGAGTTTTTCAAAAAATCATGAAAAAAGTTAAATTGTTTTTTATTTGATGACGTTTAACTTTATAGATTTGAATTCAGCAAATATTTTAATACAAGCACTTGTAAAGAGTTTTTTTTTTCCTCGAAGAAAAATGTTGCGATTTTAATGGAATTCTGCAGTGTACTTATAATTTTATGAATTTTACAACTTTACCAAATGAAACAAAATGCTTTAAGAAAGAAAGAAAAACGTTATTGGAATAGTTTTTCAGTTTTTCTTTTTTAATAATCAAAATAATTTTAAAGCAATTCGGCTTATAGGTTAAATTGAATTTGGTAAAAGTTTGTTATTATTACAATCAATATCTAAATAAGATCACTATCTAAAGTAACTTATGTTGATGGTCAAAGTTGATTTCAGAGAAATATGTAATGATAACGTATAAGTAGTTTATAGAAATTTACTTAAGGCCTCACATACCTTTTAATGCTTCAAAAAATCGATTTTTTTTTAATAATATTTTATTCTATTCTATGGATCTTTCTGAAAATTTGGAAAAAGAAAGCATAAAAAAATTCACATTAGATCAAAAGTTATCGAAAAAATAAGTCATACATTTTCTTTAATAAAATATGTCCTGTTTTGTGTTTAAACTCATTTATCTCAAAATGCTATTTTTACACCTTGCGCGCACAATATCTCGAAAACTATTGATTAGAATTGCACAAAATTTTTACAGCAGGTCTCAAATACCTGTTTCTATAAATTAACGAAGCCATTTGAAGGTGGGATTAATGTATTGACATTTAAAAAAATGAAATAGCAATTTTTTTTGTTAAAATTTTTTAATAAATTTTAAAAAAATTTTTGCATAGAGAAAAAAGTAAAATTATTTGTTCATTCTTCGTCATTTTAGTTTTACCATATATTTCTATACTCACAAAAAAAATCAAGCAAATATTATGTAAACTTTTTCCAGAAGCTTGCGCGCAAATAAAAACAGAAAAATTTTATTGAATTAAAATTTCAATTAATTAAGAAATTTCTTAATTTTTGAAAAAAATTTTTGCATTGTTTTCAAAATGTAGACTATGTATAGTGTCATATTTCAAAATTTGGTATTTTTAGAATAATTATTATAAAATTGGCAGATGATTGAAAATTGCTCGTTTTCTCTCATTTTTTACCTATTAAAAGGTATGTGAGGCCTTAAATAAAACTGAAAGATAAATGTAACAAATTTGGCGACAATAATGCACATAAAAAATAACTATTACTTAGAGTTATTTAACTTTTTTTTAAATTTAATTTAAAATTTTCTACAAACATATGTCAATTTAACATATGTCTACTTAAAATTATCAAATGCTCATTACTTACAGCTTTTTTCGAATATATCTCAAAAGTTTAGACATTTTATTTCAGAATAAATTCTTAACTCAAGAAATTCAACCAATTTTCTCAAGAGTTTAACAAGAAATGGTGTTCTTTAATTGTTGAAATGAGATTTTGTGCAAGCGCGCATTGTTAACTTGGAGACGATGGTATTAACATTGTTGTAATACCGAAATGTGATACAAACAAATTATTACAGAGCATAGTTAATTTCTTTTCGTTTGTTTAAAAATAAATATGAATTAGGTCTTTCTTTGTCTATTGTTGGTATTAGTTTTATTAATGTGAAAGACATGGCGTTAAATAATATGCTATATTGTTGTCATTATTCTAAAAACATTCGCATTTGCTTCAAATAAAATATAAATTTTTTTGAGATGTGATTACTTTTCGTCTATTAAACAATAAATTATGGTATTACTTGAAATTAAGTTGCATGTACCAGCACGTATCTTTTAGCATTTATTATAAAATTCATTGTTTTTTAACACACAAAATTAGAATAGTTATTTTATTCTGATGAAACATTACACACTAAAAAAGCATGTTTAAAACTACCATAATATGGTAAAATTTACTTATGGTCAAATT